TATGGAAAGATGGTTGACACTTGGAAAAGAGATTTCCAAAAGTTTTAGAGAAGAGCAAGGTATTACCTAACAGCCAGAGGATATCCAGAAAGTACTACCAGTTCCCCTGCAGACCTTGGCAGGAAACTTAAAACCTGGGGACTCAGCTCCTGCTGTTCAAATATTCTTTCAGTTGATTATGACTTTGGGAAAGAAACCAAATTATATAGGACGGGAACAGCTGGTCACACAGTTGGTGTCAAAGCTTAGGACTTGATATTTTAGATTTTGGCTTCTGACACCAGAGGTGGAGGCTCTTGGAAAGGGACACAGAAAGATGAGAAGGCAGATTCAGGTAGCACCTACCCCAAGAGAGTTATTTTGAAACTTGAGATTATGGAGTGACACTGTTCAGAACAAACACAAACAAACAAAATTGTAAACTAGGTCATACAGAGGAGATATATATATGTGTATGTGTGTGTGTGTGTGTATGTGTATGTGTGTCATGGATGGTAGTGGAGAAGGATCGTCACACTTAACAGGAAAAATATGGTTTAGGTGGCTATATTCTAGTGTCCCATGAGATGCAAACAGGTACTTTTTTATAAGGTAAGTTTGGGGAATCCGATGTACTAAATCCTACTTTTTGAAATCTGCACATTGCACATTTGTATAACAAAGGCTTTGAAAAAAACCCACAAAGAAGGCAATTTACCTGTGTTTAAACCTAAGTTTGTTACCACTATTAGGCCACTTACATTCTTAGGGTGACATCCAACCTACCTACCAACTGCTGTCATATCAACAACTGTAGGATACTAATGTTCCGACAGATCAATTTAGAATACCTACATTTATGCCAACACACAAAGTGCTGATAACTAAAAGAAATCATCATCAACAGCAAACATCATAAAACTAACATAAAAGAAACAATAACATGTGGCAGTAAATACTACTTCACAGAGCAGCCAAGACTTCACAGTGTGGGATGTAGCGCTGAAGGACAGCCACAGAATGGTACACTGTGGATAAGTGGAACAAATTTAATGATCTCAAGCAGCATTTCCCATGAAGAAGGTAATCAAAGCTCATAAAAGTGGGACCGGAATCATAGTGGGGAAAGTTCGGTAATGATCAAGGGAAAGGAAGGGGAAGAGGCATAATTGTGGGCGTGTAAGGCAATGCAGTGGAAAGGTGTGCAATGACAGTAATAAGGGATACGATTTCCTGGGAAGTTATTTCAATAAAATCGGAGGATATGAAAAATTTACGCCTTGCTTTGCTGATAATTTTAATCTCTCAATAAACTGAAGAAGTGGTGAGGAATGGGATTTAGTGTCAGTTTAATTTTAACAAATATGGGAAGAGTGGCTGGTCATTTAGAAATATCACAAACTTTGGGAGAAAGCCAAGTACTCATAAAATCCAGCCTCTCTATAATCCTGTCAGAGATGTTTTAGAGAGGATTTCTTGGAAGGAAGGTTACACTAAATAATCTTTAAGTCCCTGCTGAAACATTAAAGACTGCCTCTACCATTCTACAGTCACACTGAACAACTCCAGCAGTGGCCAGCATGACAACAGAGCTGGATGCAGCATCCCGGGTCTCTATAAGGATGCCAAAAAGAAACAGGAGCTCTAAACATTGGGTACAGTAAAAACAGCATAAGATGCTTCATATAAATATCCCATAGAACGTAAGAAATGAAATGAGGTACTGAATTAAAAATAGGTAAATCAGAATAGTATCAGAAATACATACAAATATACTTCCCATCTGAGGGAAATACCTACAATTAGACTTTGCTTTATACATGCAAATAATGTGGCCTAATTTTATATACCTTGTATTAACTGGAAATTTGAAAAAAAAATAGATAAAAATATACATACAAATTTAAATTCCAAAAAAGGTGGATTTATGTCAATGGGGGCAGGGAAAATCAAGAATATAACAACTTCCAGAGTAGGCAAACCTTTCTGTATTTAGAAATAGTATGAAGAACTCATAAATAGAAAATTAAACACAAGAATTATTTTAAAAGAACATTAAGACAAAAAGAAATAGACTTAATGAATATCTCCAGGAAACATGAAGTCCAAGGATTGAAATGTTTAACAAATGTCCAAATATAAACCAATTTTAAAAAGTGAGAATAATCTATTTACAAATAAGAAAATAATAATACAAAATAAAGGAGAAAAAAGGAAATTAAAAAAGGGTAGTTATAAAAGACTTTAAAGTAAAATGATAGGATCCTACCTTTGTGTGTCAAAGTAGTAAATATTAAATCCATATGTTTTGAAAATTAATTGCTCAGTATATGATAAGAAACTTTAAATAAACATTTCTTTTGACCCACTAGTTCTATAGGTAAGAGTCTATTTGAGGGGCAGTGCCCATGGCTCAAGGAGTAGGATGCCAGCCCCATATGCTGAGGGTGATGGGTTCAAACCCAGCCCTGGCCAAAAAAAAAAAAAAAAAAAAAAGAGTCTATTTAAGGGAAATAATTCTAACTGCTATAAAGCTCTATGAATAAAAAATGTTCACTAGAAAGAAAGGAACAAGAGGAGTATTTAATGTATACTCACTAAACAGAGGCTATGTAAGTTATCGCATTTAAATTTCACAACAGTTGCATGGAATAGATAAGATCACCATCTCATAGAAAAAGTAAAACGGTTTTGCATGCTCAAAGAGATTAAGTTCCTTAAGGAAATCTGGCTAGCAAGAGTGAAAAAATGGAAACGGTCTAAATGTAAACAGTAGAATGGTTAAGTAAACTGGGGAAGATTTACTTGATTTAATTAAACATTTTTCATATAAAATAACAAAATGGGAAAAAACAGTTTAGCATAAGATATTAACAAAAATTCATAACAGAAAATTTCACATTCAATGTGACTGATGTACACAGGAAAAAGACTAGAAGAAACACCTAAACACTAAGCACATACTGCAGAGCCTGAGCCTGAGACTGTGTCAACAGATGTAGTCCGCTAGTGGCCCTGAGAACAATGCCAAGTGCAGCGAAATTGTCAGGCTGCGGAAAGGATGAAGTCGAAGCCCAGAAAGACCTGCAAAGGCTCAAAAACAGTTTAAGCAATTTGGCTAAATACAGAAGATGGAGAATATAATTCAGGGCAGATATGGTAAATCTTCTGTAATGAGTTGGGCTGTAATTCTTGTCATGGTAAGTTGCTGGGAAAATCATAAATTGGTCATGGTTAAAATGTCAAAAGACTCATAATCATAAGAAAAATAATGAATTATTAAGGTTTAGACTTACTCTGGACATTTTCTGAGAGAAACAGGAAGTGAGACAAGAGTAAAATAATTTCTGCTGTATGAAATATTTCAATTAGGCAGGTGGGAAAACATGGGTAGAAAAACAGACATCTTTACTGTCAATTTATTATTAATAGAAGCTGTCTAAGTCAGCTTTAGGGGGAAAGGGCTTAGATTGACACATATTCAAACCACAGAAAATGTCATTTATATACACAAATCCTCAAAGCAACCTAATCTTCAATTGTATGAATTTGATAGCATTTTGGAGAATTTCATAAATATTCTAAGTGTAATGTTTTATCACTTGATCTTTGTCTTTCCTTTTTTTGTGTGTGTTTCCTACTATCCCCTATCTCCTGTCCACTCTCAAGTTCTTTAATATGTTAAAAAGAAATGAAATACATATTTTTATATATCTACCTATACATACATACATATCTGTTCACATACACAAATATCAGTATTGATGAAAAAATAAAACAGATGCTTGGTAAATTCAGCACAAATTACACAGGTTTGTAGGTGCAGAAATTACAAAAGCACTTGGTTTCTACTTACTGAACACCATCACATCTATCCTCACCTAACTTGACAGCCAAAAGTGACTTGTTCTTCTGCCATCACAGCAATCACCTCAGCAGGACAGCTGACTGTCGCCTACCGCTGCAAGTTCTGGGAGGCCAGAACATGCCCGGTTTTCTCACTTCTGGAGCCTTTCTACCAGGTACCTCAATGGAGATGTGTTGAATGAATGAATGAATCAGTATGAAAATCCTATTTATCTCTCCAGACTTAGCTCAAGCCCTGCCTTTCTGATAACATCTCTCCTTAGAGCCCCAGTGATTGATCTGGAAATTACTACAATGCCATCTGTGCTGGTGCTTAACACCTAATTCCACACATTATTTTTTATGTTTTTTTTTTTTATTTAAGAAACAGGCTTTTCAAGGATAGTCATATATGCATATGCAGCGTGTCCATAAAGTTTGTGTGCAATTTAAAATAGTTGCTATATAGGTAAATTATTTTAAATTGCACACAAACTTCATGAACATCCGTATTTATTCTATTTCTTAAAGCAGGTTTTATAGGGCACATACAAAATTCTCAATAAATGTGTTAAGTTAAATGTTAAAATCTTTTACACATCAATGACCTTTGTGATATTTCTAAACATTTTTCTCTTCTAAAAGCATTGTATTATGACTCTAAGGTGTGGTTGACAGAAAATGTTGAATTTAGCGTCAGCTGAGCTGAGTTTATAGCTCTGCCACAACAGTGCTGAAAAACGTTACCTAAACCCTGGTCTTCTATTTCCCTGTTTGTAAAATGAGAACATTAACAGAAGCAATAACAAAAATAAATACCTACCTATTGCCAACAGAAGACTACGCAATCGAATGGGATAATGCATGTCAGTGAGTTTTGCAAATGGAAAAGTAAGTATTAGCCCTTCTATTTACCAATTTTAACAAATACAATTGATGCTGCAAAGCTACATATAGCAATAACAGGGGGGCTTTTTCTGAGAATAGTTCCTATTAGGCAGAAGAAAAAAGTGACAAAGAAAAAAGACACAAACTTGAGCATAGACTGCCAAACATGCCCCATTGCAAATCAAAGTCCATGTTCAACACTTGCTGGGTGGAGAGATTACCAGGCACCTGTCACCCACACCCTCTGGCACTGCTGCAAGCATCTTTGAAACCCGGAGAAAGCTTACCAGACACGAGCTGCTGTCCAGGCAACCCCACGGGAACCATGCCCAGATTATTCATGGCTGTGGCCCAGGCTGTGGGATCTGTCACGGACATATTGAGCTGGGTTGTGTCTATCGCTATACTTCCCAAACCATCGGCTGCTGCGGGGAGAAATAATCCACAACTTAGAATCAATAGGCAAGGGTGTTTATTTTAAAGGAAGTCACATTTCTGAAGATGTGAGGCTTCATTTAGCACATTTCCAAACAACAACAACAACAACAACAACAACAACAACAACAACAAATAAAGCATTTAAACCCACAGCCATAAACATAAACTCTTTCTTAATACTTTCAGGGAGGAAACTTAATGACATGTAATTTATATTGTACGTAGCATGCTGCTAAAGAGGTACCCTTGGGAAAAAACTGACCGATCTCTTTCTTTCCAAGTGAAACAATGTTAGTTGAGTTACAAGTTGAGAGGCAAAGCAGTGCAACCCCTTGGTAAAACAAGTCAACTGGCTTAGTGAACTACAAATAAATAAATCCACCTGTTTCCAAGGGTAGTTCTTGAGCAGGCATGCCTTCTAACTACCAAGTAAAAAACAAAATGGTGAAGAAGTAAAACTGGTACTGACTGAATTTATTGTTTCCTTATATGTTCCCTGCTTTACAATCTTACATCATCACATTATAAATACAGATATCTACCTAAGGTCACTTTTCTAAAATATTTCCTATAAGCATTGACTTTCATACTAAATAAATAAATAAAATTAAAAAAAATAGCCCAGAGCTTATTAAAGAAAAGAAAGAAACAGCAGAATGTGTCAAATTTGACTTAATGCTCTTTGCTTTCATTAATTCCAGGGCCTGGTTTTTTTTCAGGACTCAGCTCCTGCTTTAATGCATATTTTTCATGGCTGGGCAAGCCTTTCCACTAAAAACTCAAAAAGCCTTATTTGTGTCCTGTGCCAGCCACTGACATTTACCTGCAGCCATCATCTGAGGAAGCTCCTGGGGATGCTGGGGGATGCTCTCAATTCCACCTGCATCTACCACTGAACTGTGAGCATCCTGGGAGATAGCAGCACTTTGATGGCCGAGTACAGGGTCCCCTTGGGGATCATCAGATTCTGCAAAGGGAGATAGGAGTGTGGTAAGAAACTGTAACAGTTAACCATGAGAGAACATCAAGGAACAAACTACTGTCTGTTCAAAAACAAAAGCAAAGAGAAAAACTGATTTCTAGTCTCCAGCACAGAAGTCAAACTGCTTTCCCTCCCTCAGCAGCTGTCTCGTGGCTCAGTTTCGGAGACCTGTGAGATGTGTGGGTCAACTCGTCTGCTTACCTAGAGCCGGGCTGGCTGAATAAACGGTACCATTTATGAATGCGTCAAATGCCTTGCCTCCTCCTGAAGAGCCTTCACAAATGGGGCTTATCATCCCTGTACAGCCTCTTCCATACACTACACATCAATGGAGAGGGCAGACTCGCAGCTAAAGAAGATTTTTTCTTTAAGTTAAAAAATTAATTGATGTTGTTATTTTGGAAGATGGTCATCTGTGAAATGTATTCAGAGAGGAAAAAAAAGTTGGGAAGAAGAAAAAAGCAATAACCCATTCACCATAAGGCTGGAAAAGGAAGGTACCTAAATTACAATAGTCAGAAAAGGCAAAAGGGAAGAATAGCACGCTGCCCATAAAGGAAGATCTACAGGGCGTTAGGGCAGCAAAGGAAAGCATTTGTTTTTTCAGCTGTATGGCACGATAAATTTAACCAGCCACAGTCTGTTCAGTCTGAATTTTCCTTAGGATTGCACAGCTTATATATATGTATTTGTAATAGACTTTTAAATTACTTTTCTAAGAAATATAAATAAGAAACTACAGAAAGCTACAAAGGGCCCCTTGGTATCATACTGTCTATAAAAGACTACACCTTTCCCCATATGGAGGGGAGGGGAGGGGACAGGGTGGGTGGAGGGAGGGTGATTGGTGGGATCACACCTATGGTTCATCCTATAAGGATACATGTGAATCTCTCTAAATGTAGAATATAAATGTCTTAACACAATAACTAAGGAAAAGACATGAAGGCTATGTTAACCACTTGGATGAAAGTATTTCAAATTGCATATAGAAACAGTGCACTGTACCCTATGATAGTATTAATGTACACAGCTATGATTTAATAATAAAAAAAAAGACTATACCTTTCCTCTATCCTTAGAGACGCAAAAACATAGAGCATTCATAAGTTCCTATTATAAATGCACTTCAATCAAATCAAAACTTGGATCGACGACTGACAAGTTCGATCTTAAGTGAGTGAATATAACAATGGAGTTTTAAAATTTATTTTTATTTTGATATATGTTTAGAAACTTTCCTAAACCATGTTTCTGTTGATAATTTTAGAATTAGATATTATGATTTGTTTCTCAGGGTATCTAATGTGAAATCTGAGCCTTTTATGGTATGTCCTTTTATTTCTTTGAATCTTAGGTGTAAGAATCAGCACACCCTTGAACATGGTCTGTTAAAAAGAACAACTCCCCAACTGAGCAAAAATTTAATACAATGGAAACTCAGGTTTCAACATCTTAAGGATTGGTGGATCTCAACAAATCCTTAGCCTTCAACTAGAGAGGTATGTGAGATAGTAAGGAATTTTGTTTTTCCAATTGTCTATCAGAAGGATAAAACGTCTTCATTACCAAGAATTAAATGATAATTAACTTTAGGCAGAATAAATACTTTATACCCTGCCAGTCTAATACCCCAGTGAATTTAGAACTTGTACATATATTGTGCATCAATTATCCCAGGCAATGGGTACCTTCAGACAAAGATATTTCTTACCACATAAATTCAAAAGCATTAAGAATATGCTTTTCTTAATGGGAATATTCAGATGGGAATAACCTAACCATCTGCCCTGTAGCTGTCCATTCACCAGATATTTCTATGAAGAAACCTCAAAGTACTTGTTTCTCTCCATTTTCAACCATTTCAAAGCACCAAGGCAGAGTCAGGTTAGAACATATTCATTTTTTTGCTCAAATGGCCCTGTAGTAGAGCTGTTTCAGATCACTACAAGGTCACGATTTGTCTTACTTATCTCCCCAAATGAAGTTTAGTTGGCTGGCTTCCTTCTAGCTTAAATTCTCCCCAAATGGGCATTAATCACACTTTTTTTTTTTTTCCTGGCTAATGAGTCTGCAGCTCTAGAACACTATATCAAAGAGCTTCCCTTTACTTTGTAGATTTTATGACTTATTCCTTCTAGTCCCCTTTCCCCTTGACTTTTCACTACACTGTTTTGGGGATGGTGTGAGCTTTCCTTGACTCTGTATCTGTCTGTTCCAGCGGTAGTTTTCACCTTAATGATTATAGTCTGATGATGGGATATCACATGTCCTTGAGGGCCATAGCTTCTAACACTTTTCGTGGCTATCTTCACAAACTATAAGTATTTCACTCAAAATAGTAAAAAACTGCTACTAAAGCACTGCTCTGTTGGCAAGGTATGGTGTGTAAACCTAAATTTATCCCTTAGTCAAACTCAGTGGCGTTCAATTTATTACATCTCTTCAACCCCTCAATTTCATGGTTTTAAGGACATACAACTTCATGTGGCTACCATGTGCCTGGGATGGCAACTCGCAGGCAGGTTCTGTCACATTTTAGGTCTGTCCAATAGTCTCGAGGGAGCCATGACATTCTTTACAGAATTTAAATTGATTTGATCATTTGGCTTGGAAGAAAGGTGATACTTTAAATTAATTACTACTAGTAATTTTTGAATAGTTGCAAAAGCTATTTTTGTACTCTATTAACATCTATTGTTCCTATTGAATACCTGCCTCTTTAAATAATTAAAGACCATGATGCCTAATTTATCATTAAAATCAATTTCTCTGCCTTAGACTTGTTATTTCTAAACTATAGAAAAGATTAATATTCTTAATGATGTTTATTTACACAGAGAAATGTGGAGAGTTAAAAAATTATAGCTAATAAAGTACTTTGAATATAGTAGGTGATAATTATTATTATTTTATTTGGAAGTGTAGTGTTTCCATTAAGGTACCCTGGGATCTTTGTGTTCTGGTGGATAATTATGTAATTAATTCTAAAACAGTGAGTAACACTTGATATTTCTAAAAGTAAGTGTTGCCCTAGTTTTCTGTGCCACACCTAAACTATAACAGAATATTTCATAACTCTTTTATAAAATAATATAATAGAACTTAAAAGATATATGAATTTTTTCTGTCTATGCAACTACAAATGCTTTCAAGAGATTCATGACCAATTATGAAATGGGCAGTTTCTATTTAAACCTTCAAGTGAAGTATGATCACCACAAAGCAATCTGATATACAAAATGCCAAGGATAACAGCAGAGGATTGTGTAGGGCTTAATGTCTAATGTCTAACTGTTGTAAGATATATTCAAGCGGGCGGTGCCTGTGGCTCAAAGGAGTAGGGTGCCGACCCCATATACTGGAGGTGGTGGGCTCAAACCCGGCCCCGGCCAAAAACTGCAAATAAATAAATAAATAAGATACTTATTTGTAATTGTTAAAAAAAAGATATATTCAAGTATAAAATCTCATACCCGATACCATAACTATTCAACAAGATATATTTATGTTCAGTATTTCACTGGGCTATAACAATGGTGAGAATAGTTTTTGAAACTCACTTAGTCTATAAAAATACTACTTGGCCTAAAAAAAAAAAGCACAGGCTGCTCCAATTCTTAATAATACGACCTCTCTAATCTTTTTCAACACTTATAGGTACCAAGGACACATACTTCATAAAAAAACTCATCTCTAATTGTCCATAAAAGATGTATTTCTATTAAATGGGGGGGGGGTAGAATCAACTAGGTGCTAAAAATTCCATTTAAATTGATTTTGTTTTATATAAGACCTAAGATTTATGTCTACTTCAATAGCAAAGTAATTATGGTGAAATAATCATACTTATTCATGCCTTATAGAATATGGTATGGTATCTGAAACCTTATTTGATAAGAATGCATTACCATCGTTTATACATAAGTTAAAAGAAAAATACATTTATATCCAAAGTTCACTCTTGTCTTCTATCATTAAGACAATATTTAACTTTGGTCTTCATGTAATTGGTAAGATAATCTCCTGAGGTTATGGAAATATTCCAGTTTAGCATAATACAGACAATTGTTAAGAAGATATCACTTACATACTAACTCCATGATTTTTAAGCAACTGTCTATGAACAAGAAGGAAGATATTACTATTTCCTGTAATGATAATTACAGAGAACAGTAATGCAGACCAATCTTCCCACTGAGGAACAAACTAGAAATCTTAATATCTTTCATCAATTTTATAAAATTCTCACTATTATCTCTTCAAATACAAAAGGAACCCAAAGACCATACTCTAATTATTCTCTGGGGTTATTAAACAGGCTTCTATGGTCCTGTTAACTACTAGGGAGATGAGTGGAATATGTAAGTTTGGGGGAAGAGCAGAACTGATCTGTCAAGAGTGGTAAATGACAACACAAATGCTGAATGTTTTTGTGGGTGGAGGGAAGAATAAATCTTTGGCGGCCACCTGTGACTAAAGGGGACTACAGAGAACATAAATGACCTTGGCAGAATTTCAGGTAGTTCACTGGGAAGCAACCAACATCTTTCCTCCGTCCCCTCTCCAGAAATGTCAGCAAAGTCTACACTGATTCTTAATTTTTAGGTAGGAGTAAATTTGGGGGTGTTAGGGGTACCTTAGAAACAAAAAGTCTAAAGAAGTCACTGATAATGGAGGATTACCCAAACTAGTACACGATAAAGCATGTAAGTTTCAAATTTGTCAAATATACAGGATGTTATCTATTAGTGATCAATATCTCCGATTAATGGGAAATAGCCCGATTAAGATATTAAAGAACAGATTTAGATTAGGGATATTATGAGGAATTTCTGATGAGATGATTGTGAAGTAGGAATACATCAAATAAAACAAAAATCTCTTTCTCAGTGACAGAAAAGTCACCTCGTGGAAACAATATGAACAAGGATGGAGCTGTGTAAGAATCAGTTCAGGTAGGAGCGAATCCTACAGTATTTACT